TTAGGATCAAAGAAAATAATAATTAATAAATATTAACAAATTTCTAATTAAGAGAAAATAAATGTGTCTATGATTAATAATGATTAATAATAATTGTTCCTAATTAAAAATCAAAAATATTAACAAAATATTATTCAATATTTTACTTTAAAAAAAAAATATTCTTCTTCTTTCATCCAACATTGTCGACAATTTACTTTATATAAATGAAGAAGAAAGACTCACCTCTTTGACCTTGTCCCTCCGTTCCCTGGCGATGGGGTCCTTGTCCTCTCCACCAACCGTCAAAGGAAGTTTACTGGCGGGTGCTGGCGGCACAGTCTCTAGAACTTCGTTCTTCCGGTGAAGCACTAACGATGGCGAACTAGTAACACGCACATGTATTTCACCAATCACTTCCGGCTTCTCTAACATCTTCTGTTGCTGATATTCCTCGTCGATCTTCGCCTGAAATTCGGTCAGATCAAATCGCGGATCGAGATTTTCCGAGAATGACGGTTTTTTTTTTTTAATCAATTAGATATGTTAATTTCAATTTAATCGTCGAGAATAAAAAAATAAAATAAAAATCCGATGGTCTCTCGGTAAGTGAGTCCTTATTATTAAAATAATGTATTTTTTTTGATATGAATTTTAATTTTTTTTATAAATTGAGAAAGAAACTGAATGATTTTTTTTAATATACGATTTCGAAACGAACAACAGAGCGGAAAGAATTTGACGTAGGAAACGACAAATAATAACGAGAGAATAATGAAATCGGATATGGAAAGAATAAATTTCGATTCATTGTTTGGAATAATTTCAAATAAAAAATGTTTTTTATCTCATTGGTAATGGAAGATCTTATTTCATGAAGGATCAATTGTAAAAAGAATTATTTATGTACTTTATTAAATTATTAGAAATAATAGTAACTGTTAATGTTAATTTCGTATATACAGGGTGTCTGGTTAAAATGTTTTGCGATCATTTATACGTTGTTTTTAAAAGATGTTTTAAAAGAAATTGTTTTATCAGTCAAGGTAACGTTTAGATAACATTGTTAACTTCAATTTCGAACGAATTATAAACTTTACGGCTTATCAAATTGCAAATATTTATCTATCCTGATAAATTTTTCAATATCGAATAAGGAAGGAACTGTGTACCATTCCTCGCACGAATCATTCAATCATAAATATTATTTCTATAAAAAAAAATGAAATAATATATTCAACACGGAATCGAAACGAAAAATAGATAGATAAGAAAGCAAACAGAAAAAAAAATCAAACAACGAAACGTTTACTCAGAACATATCGAAATTCCACCGTGTCATCGAATCTCCATAAAACATATAATCAAAGTCAATTTATTCAAGGTACAGGATATTTGAGCTGGAGAGGTCAGTAACAGCGACACAGTCTCTTTGAGATCGTGAAACGTTTCCATTTATTTTCCCAGCCATTTACAAATTACAATCTATCAACGCGCATTTTCATCGTCCCACTTCAAATTCAAATCCTATTTCCGACCGATACACGCGGCAATTATTTATTACAAAATTTTCATCTTAAAGAATGGAAAAGATCGGTCCACGCCACGTCGAATAAAAATCAAATTTTTCTGGACCGTTTGAAAGAGAGAGAGAAAGAGAGACCTCGGATCTATTTATTCGAACACCGCCGTACGAATGCAATCTCGTCTCGAGAACACGCTTCTTTCGCTCGATTCGCTCAGAAAATATCGGCTCTCGACCAGCCGTGATTATAAAAGAACGAAAAATGAAATGTTGCGAGTATAACGCTTGCTTTTCCCTCTGCGTTAAACGATTTCGAATTTAACTCTATCACGAGCTGTTTTTTCGAGGAAAAACCGATTGTGATCGAGTTATTTGTTGAATAGAGAAGTATTTTGTTTGGAGAAAAATATTTTTAGGAATAATTGTAACTTTGAACTCATTCAGATATTATTAATATAATAATTTGAAAGTAATGGAAGGATTCTGAATTGAATTGTTATTTGCGTGAATCCAGAAAAATTATAAATACTTTCACACCGAATTCTAGTTTTTATTTAATAATATTTCTTTTTTATTGCGTAATTGTGCATATAGAATAACGCGCTGATTAAAATATTGCGAATTGAATTAACATACATGCACGAGTATAATTATTCAATTATTTATGTTACACGAAATTCCCGAATATATAATTATAGTAACTTCCACTAGTAATATAATAGTAAGTAGCTTTAGCTAGCTTTAGATCTAAATTTATTCCTTTAATCGATAAACTTTTTTTTTCCTTACCGATTTTTTTTTTCAAATATTCTGAAATCTAAAGAGTCATCGTGTTACGTACAGAATTATTTCTACTTTTTATTTTCGATCAATATTGCAATAACGATGTTAGTTTCTATCTTATTTGCTATTGCTACTATTCCTTTATTATTGCATTTCTTGTGTTTAAAGTACATTATCTTTGTTATAAGTAATACTAATATAACAAATATTTTCCATTAAAATTTTATTAAAATTCTGTGTCTCGATAGATAAGATTAATTCAAGTATACTATAGATTTGACTGAGAGTATCAAGAAAAATAATTTATTCGCATATACACGTTATCTAATATTGACTCGATGACATATCACGTTAGTTTTACTTTAAAATATTATACTATCGCGGTAATATTCACATATAAACTTGAATTCATTCTATTTTTTATGTAATTTCGTGGAAAATTATATATATTATGATATTTATGGCGTTAAGTTTTATTTTTTTATTTGTTATCAGAAAATAACAAATAAATATTTCTGAAATACGAATTTAAATTAGGCAAAAAAAAATATAAAAGTAAGTATATTGATAGCAAAAGTAACAATTAATAATATTGCAATTGCGAAATTTGGAAGAACTTTTAATTTTTTAAATGAAATATTATTATAAAAAATTCTATGTGTTTCTTTCATGAAATTAATTTAATTTCATAAATTGTCTATTTCATTATTAACTAATAGAAAAAAATGACTAGAATTCTTTCTCTGAAGAAATATAAAAATTCATATCTTTTACTAATATTATAATATATTAAAAATATATTCTATCATTTTTCTAATGATTCATTCTCAAATCAGTTTTCCGTTCAACTGACCTATATATTTAATTCAAACTATATCTCTTAGTCGATTACTACTCGCACACGTGAAATCGAATGAATAATTCCAATTATGCAAACTACATTTCGTAATCGATCACGTATTAATAGGGGAGATCACCTGTGGATCGTGAATTGATCGAAAATATGTATATATTCGTAACACTTTCAATGAACGATCTGATTGAAAGTCTATGGCAAATTCATAGGTATTCGCTTTAAAATTCCCTTATTTTTGCCATCATCAGGCTATTGATATTAAACATGAAGATAAAAATATTTCAAGATAAACATGTAAATTAATAACAAATAAATCTATTTCTTTATCAACAACAAATCTATCACAATTTCAATGTTGAATAACATTTCTCTTATATGAGAAACTAGTGAAATTTGAACATGCTGCATCTAACACGTGCAAATGTTAAACTCGCGGAACAAGTGCTAAATTACAGTCGAATTACCTAGTTCTACGATGAAATTGCCATCAAAATCGCGCTTCAATTTTAATAAATTCAACTAGCGAAGAACTATTAATTAAACATTCTGCTTTTCACGTTAAAATTATATTTTAAGTAAGTATATAAATCTAAGAAGCTTTTATTATATTAACAAATTCTTCACGCTATTAAATTCATCGTAAAAAAAAAAATTCTAATTAAATTAAATTCTCATTAAAATTATCGTAGAAAAAATAAAAATTACAATTTTAAATAATAAACTGTATCTACATATGTATATATCATAAAAAATAATGTTTGTTAAAAAAATTGTAACGTTCGAAAATAATCACGATTGTAAAATTTCGTTTGTGAAACGAAATTTATAATAAAAAATATAATCTGTGAATGTTATCGAGAATGGTGCAAATAGAGTTAGCGCGTTTCGCAACATTAAATATTCGAACGTATATCCTCCATTAAACGTAAATCCTTGATAGATTCTATTATTTCACGGTTAACAAGGGATGTCAACATTTTGATATAAACGTGAAAATAATTTCCTATTCGAATTGTAAATCGAGCTTCAATCTTATGTCGTCATCGTTAATTAGCCGATAAAACAAGATATAACTTTCCTTTCTTTCGATTCGATTCCATCATCTTTTCAATATCGCTTTCACCATGTTTTCGATTGTTTTAGAGATAATTTTCTAACATTCTGAATTTTGTTTAAAACGATTTCAAGAATATTGATTATACACGTGAAAATTTTCATTTGGAATTAAAGTTTGTTTTATCGACGATTGAATAAATATCGAGTTATCGTATCAAACTGACCTGTGAATAATTTTGTTTTATTTAATTCTTAATGGAAAAAATAAAAAAATAAAGTAAAAATTAAAATCAATGAAGAAAATAATAAAAATATTAATTTTTATCCTATATTCTATATCCTATTAATAATCTTAATTTATCGATAGATATCACTATTCTATTATCAGAAAATCTTATCTTTTTATATCAAATTAATCGATTCGCAATTTTTATTAATCTTTATACGACATCTATCATTTTCCTATTATTAAATCTAACAACTTAAATAATAAATTTAGTAATTCAAAATTTCCTTAAATTAAATTTTAAAACAAGAGAAAAGAAAAAAAAATTATTACTTAACATGTGTTATCCATGTTATCCATGTGCATACGATAGAAACGAAATGTCTCAATGAGGGTCATGTCGATGCGTCGGAAATTGCGCTTTGAAATTTTAGGGCGAGAGTCTATTAACATTGATAAAACTCGTTCTCTCAGCCCGCAACACGATGATAGATTAAATAATTTAATCCCAGTAAATGCGTTTCACATAGTTACGTTTCACACAGTACGTTTCACAATACGCGTAATTTATTCGTTAATATGCGTGATACGTAGAACGACATGTCATTTTCCGGAGAAACCGTGCGTGATGAAATGAGAACGATAGCTGATTTAAATTTTCATATTTCGTTATACATAAATATTCCGATTATGCAAAAACGTAGGTAAAACGTTTCGTTGTTCACGCACAATTCGTAATGAAAACAGGATTAAAAAGAATAATCGCAGGCACAAAACTAACAAAATGGCGCTCGAAAACGATAAATTACGATTATCGAATCTTGACAGATCGATCGATATTAAATAAAATATGGTGGCCATATTGAAGTAAATATGTAGCTCATACATATTCATTGACAATTAGCGCGTTTTGACCGTTAGCGCGGAATCAAATCGAATGAACATAGCAAAAATAAAATAATCACGAATTAAAGAAATAAAAATTACGGATTGTGTGAACTTTTGCTCTGTTACGCGTGTACACGTGTGCCCGCGATACGTCACGATGGCCGCATGTAAACAAACGAATCGGGAAAGCGTGTAACAGCTGAAAAAACGGAATATATAAGATGTTATAAAAAAACAAGGACATCACGACGAGAAAGATCATACAATTATTGTCAAAGAGATCAGCACCATTTGATTTCTCAAGAAACGATGACAAGCGAAATCACGAGTTTGCGAGTAAGCTACAAAATCGAGAGTCGAGCATAATCGAGAATCGAAAGAAGCGCAACGTCGAGACTCTGACACACGCGCGGACCTGCAGCTTTTGCTTGTCCTGAAGAATATGCACATCCTGATGATCAATGCCCTCGTGTCCAGGTGGCACAGCATTAAGATGACCTATGGACCCCTTTATGCCCCCTTGTAAACGAGGTGGCGCCGGTATAAGTAATTCCGGTCCCGCTTTTTGCATGTGTTGGTATACACGGTAAACACTGTTCACTGCGACGCCGCCAGTGCCCGGACGGAAATCCGGCAAAAAGAAGAACGTTCCGAAACACACGACACCGAACGTCAAAAACACCAACATGATCAGATACTTTTCACGCGGGCGGAACGACCGTCTCGAGAATAGAGGCACCGGCACACCATTCACGAACCGCTGATACGACGGCAGAATACTCGACGTCGTTGTCATTTTAACGATACTGTCACGCCACGCACGCACTAACGCACTTCCCGTTTTTACAACAGACGAAAACTCGAGCACTCGTGCGCGTTGTTGCCCTTTTCCTAGCCGTCGCACGCCATTACAAATGCCGTGGCACGCGAGCACCACCTGCTCGCCGAGCTTGACACTTCGTCGCAGATGGAGCGCCAATCAGCTGGTGCGACTCATGCACCAACTACTTTCATGAATAACAAGCAAACGAATACAGATCGGTATGATCTCGTGCAGTCGATAACTAGACACAAAAACACACTAGATATAAAATTTTATATATTTTTGTAATCCAAATTTTCTCAAAAAAATTTATTGTTTTATAATATTAATTTTCGATTTACTATGTTAAAATATTCTAACTATATAAAATTATAATTGTAAAATATAAATGTTATAAATATAATAATATATATATTATTAATTATAGTAAAATTTATTATATTTTTAAATTATTAATTTTCAATTTATAACTGTAAAATATTCTACAATTTTATCTTAGAATTATTTTAATTGTAGTTTATATTAATATTAATAATTCATAATTAATTTATATTATATTTCAATTTTCGCGCGTTTAAAATAAGAAATGCACTAACTATTTTTTAACCAATCAGGAAGTCGGTAAGATCTAGCCGCGAAATGAATCAGTGCGCATCATGTTGCGCATGACGTCAGTCTACAGTTGAAAATTGTGGTGACAGGTCACGTTTCATCGGTTGAGAAGTGTAATTATATAAAATTTTTAGTGATAAATTATTGTATTACGGTTATTAAACTTAATTAATCAGTTGCTAAGTTTTATTTAATCATTATTATATTAGAATTGAATAGTGTTTTGAACTTTTAATAGTTTTATGCCATTATTTGATCCAAGCATTCAAGGCGGGATGGTTCGGAAATGTAATAATTTTTGTGCACGCCATAATGATTAAAAGATAATTCAACGATTATCATATAAATGTGGTAAGATTTTTCTCATTTTCTCATATATTTCTATACTAAATGCATCTATCTGTATATTTAATTCGCATATTATTTCTTTGATACATTTTGATTCGAATTATCGAATATATCTCTCTCCCCTCCCCACTTCCCCTTCCCCCTCTTCCCCCTTCCCCCTCTTCTCCCAAATTTGTACA